CAAGAGGTCTGGCACAGGTGCCTCCACCACTGATTACTGCCCCAATGGGCCCCAGGGACTGGTAGGGGTGAGGGGTGTGGGGGGCTTAGCAGCTACTCCAGACAACAGAAATCAAATTGGCTCAACCGCAGCATACAGTTCAGGAGGGGAACACAAACTTGGAATGCTAACCACACAGAAATGCATTCGGACAACAAAATGAGAAAGAGAGGGAGTGGAGGGGGCTGGGGGTGGGCAGGGGTCGGAGGGGAGAATGAACAAGAAAAGTTGTCGGGGGTGGGGTGGGGTGGGGTGGGAGGGAGTCAAGAAAACCAAATGACAAACCAGGAAACACAGCTTTGTAGCTCATTTGGAGAAAAATGCAAGGTTACAAATGAGTAGTCACTAAAATAAAGAAAGAAAAGGGAGAAGGGGAGAAAACCAACCAGAGTGAGATCGAGAGAAAGAGAGAGAAAACCACATTCAAACCAAGCAGAGTGGCGGGGCTTATCTGGAGATGGGGAGCGAGCGGGCGCACAGCTGAGCCGGGATACCTACCTTCTCAGTGGTCAGGGACAGGAATGCAATAATAAAAAAGAAAAGAAGGTCTCCGCATTGGGAATGCAGAAGGGGGGGGGGGGAAGACAGTGACTCTAAGCTGCGCTCCCCCTCGGGAACCAGAACTGTGCAGGCCGTGTGGCTTTTGGTCTAGTCCCAGGGATGGGAGGGGGCTCCTGCCCAGCCGGTTCTGTTTGCCTCTTTTTTTTTTTCTTTCTTTCTTTCTTTTTTTTTAAACCCACAGGCTCCAATAAGCCAAGCTTTCCTTAACTCTTTAAACAACAGAAAACCTCCAGAGGACATGCAGGAAGCAGCTGATGGAAGCAGAACCAGAGGATGGGCTAAGGAGAGGGGCTGGCAGCATGGGGACAGAGGCCCATGTTGGGGAGAGAGATGGAGAGAAAGAGACAGAGAGACACAAAGAGAGCCAGCGCGAGAGAGAAACAAAGGCAGAAGGAAACAGACAGACAGGCAGGGAATAGAGAGAGGTGGGCCCAGACTGAAAAAGGAGAGAAAAACTGTTTCAACAACGCAGAGTGGATGGATGGGGTGAAGGGATGGGTGCATTTAAAAGGGAAGGCAACCACAGATTTGGCTGGAGGTCGGATCCTGCCTCAGGCCTGCCACTTTCCCAGGGCTTCTGCATCATTTTAGGAAAACTCATCCCTCCTACCTTCTGGCTTCATCCTGGAAGTAAGGCCAAGATGCCCCTTCCTATTCTGACTGCCTCCCTCCAGCTGTGGTCACTGCTCTTTCCGGGGGCAGGTAGCGGGGAGGCCTGGGATGGGGCAGGTCAGGCAGTGCCATGGGCACCTCTGTTTGGGGTCACCCTAGGCTGCCCATTTTGTGATGACATTTGAGCCAAAGGTGGAGGCCAGAGAGAGCCTATAGGGGCCTTGCTCAGGAACCTTCTCTGCCACCCTCACTGAATAGTGAGTCTTCCCTTTGACACTTGCAATGCCAGGGACAGGTGGAGCCAAGGCAGGGGCCCTACTTCTAAGTCCTTAAACCCTGCACACCTTTTCTAGGACTTGGGCTCAGCCTCTTACTTCTCTGTCCCAAATCATGTGCCCCCTTCCCTCTCTGCTTCACTATTTCTGTCCCCATACTGGGAGGGCAAAGGGTTCCCTGAGTCACTGAAGCTGCCCTCATAGAGAGTTGGGCTTGCTGAATGCTGGGCCCACCTATACTCTGGTCTTTGTGTGGGCAGGCCCCAGTGCCAGGGAGTTGAGAGCTGAGAGTGTGTCATCGACATCTGGAGCGGTTCCCCAGGGGAAGGCAGGAGCTGAAACAACCAGCATGCACCTCCTGAATCCTTCTCCCCTTACTCAGGGTTCCCAGAATGTGCTTTCCATTGACCACTCTCTCCACATCTTGGCTGTGGCTGGTGGTCTTGAGGTGAGAGGGCTGGAGTCTCCTTTTGGGTCTCCCTCTAAAAAGCTGTGTGACCTTGAGCTGGTCCACTTGACCTCTCTGAGCTGCAGGGAGCAGTAAATAGCAGAACCCAGAAATCCCTGCAGGGGTTTCTCCCTGGTGTGGTATGGAACAACACAGAGATGTGTTGGGAGCCAGCACCCAGCTGGCCTTAGTCTCAAGAGGAGGATGGACTTGTTCTCTTGCTGGGAGTGTCTGGCTTTGAAGCCCTCACCTGAGCTAAACTCTCTCGGGGCTGTGCAGCTCCCTCCTATAGGATCTGAGGCCTGCTACAGAAGGTGCTCAGCAGCCTATCCCTAGCATGCCCAGCCATCTTATACTAGATGGAACTGGGGAGACACCGGGTGCTCACTGCCCTGGGATGCTCCCCGGGTGACTCGGGACAAATATCTCTTCCTCCCTGGGTCTCCCAGCTTCCCTCCAAGGTTCCTTATAGATAGGGACACAGAAGAACAGTCTGGGCCACTTCTGTTCATTTAAAAACGGAGGCAGTTCCAGCACATGCCCTGGGGTCAAGGAGAGGATTTCCTGCCACTGCAGATTTGGCAGGAGCTGTTGGTGTGGGAGTCACTTTTTAAGAGTTATCTTCCCTTTTAAATTCTGGTTACAAAGGAAAAAAGAATAAGTATATAGAGATATGTATACGATTAATGTTCGCTTGAGATTCAAAACCCATCTCTGCATTAGGAGGAGAGGCTCCCACAGTAACACGCACAAAAGCAAAATTCTAGAACAACATAGAAGATAGGAAAAAAACAAACAGAGAGATAGTTTGCATTTCTGTACATTACCAAAGGAAACAAAAAAAGAAAGAAAATACAAACAAAAACAAAATAATAGGAAAAGTTACATAAACTTCCCCACCCTCTTCCCTTGCCAACTAAACAAGAAATGGAATCACAATATTACCACGGTTCAAATGGGAGGCTAAAAAAACAAGCAAAAACATAGACGGGGTTAAAAATGGTGAGCTTTTCTTTTTTTTTCCGTTTGTTCTCTCTCTTTTTTTTTTAAAGGTAGAGTCCAAGAATACCCCCACCCCCCAGTACTTGTCCCCAAAGACATTTTTGGTGAATGGCTAAGTCTACGACACGCCCCCTCCCACCCCCATCTCACCTCCCAGGAGGTGCAGGTGAAAGGCCTGGATGTCCTGAGGTCCCAGATCTCGCAGGGCCCAAGGGCAGGGAGAGGATTTGGGGAGCATGCTTTGTGAAAGGGGTAACAAAGTGCTCTCTCCCCGGAAAATCCCAGGGCAGTGCCAAAATGGAATCCCATTCTGGGAGGGAGTCAAGATTTGGGTGCTGCTGAGGTGGTGTCGTCCCCAAGGCTGGAAGCTAGGCCACCTTCCTTGATTGCTCTCTCCTGGGGTCTATGTAGACCATGGCCATTCTGTCAGTACAAGCCCAGGGCCCGTGGTGGCCTATTGCTCAGGGAGGAGAGGGTACCAGAAGTGGGATGGAGCCTCCTATTGGCCCTGGCTGCCTTCTGTGCTTTTCCAGGAGGATGGGAAGCTCCCGCGAGAAGGTGTTTGGGGTTCTCGCTCTGTGCCCTTGGTGGTGGGGGGATGGGTACACCCTCTCCTGGGTTTTCCCAGATGGAGCCATTATCTCTGGGGCCTGTGGCACCACTCCCCGTCCTGACTGCGTCCAGCTACCTCTGTGTGTCCTCTCCCACCCCCAAGGCAGATCCTGGGACATGGGTGTGATCCTTCCTATGTGGCCCAACCAGGCCCCTAGGAGCTCAGGAGCCTGACACCCTGTCCAAGTGGGGCAGCCTCGAAACAGGTAATGTCCTTAAATAAAAATTAATCTTGAGACCAAGAACCTTTTGTCAGCTGCCCTTGGCTTTCCTCCCTAAGGTCTTGGGAATAAGGGTGTTTGAGAAAAGAAAGGGAGTGAAGGAAACAGCCAAAAATCAAAATGAAACTGACCAACACGGACATGTTTGCTGCTGAGACCTGAGGTCTGGGGAGGGGCAGCCCCCACCCTCCCTGCTGAGGCATCTGGGGCAGTTTGGGTCTGGTGGGGGGGAACCTGCAGGCCTGCCCACCCCGTGCCCCTGCCAGTACTGCAGCCCCCTCTCCCTGAGGGGGCTCTATCCTGTACTTCAAAGTCAACAGACAAAAGGGGATGTGGGCCTCCCCTGGGGCTCAGGAGAGCCCCCCACCCCCAGCCCAGCCCATCCACCTGGGAAGGGCTGAGAAGCCTGTCTGTTCTACCAGCCCCTACCATCACCACACCTGCTTGTGGGTCTCAAGGACTCTGTGCCTCTCTTGGAGGATGGGTGGGGACAGTTTTTGAGTGGTGTTGGTGTGGAGTCCCTGAGGGAGCAATGGGGACACTGGCAGGCGCTTTAGGAAGGATGGGACATGGGAGCCTGCAGGATTGAGACATCTGTCCACGCGTGGGCAGTCCCGGGGAAAAGGACAGACTCTCCTTGGAGCAGGGACTTTAGAAATGCAGCTCAGTGGCGGCAGCTCGGCAGCTCGGGGACAGAGAAAGGGGAGGGCTCTGAGGGAGGGGGAGTGAGGCAGTGAGGGGGTTGAGGAAGGGAGGGTGCTCAGAGAGGGGGAAAGGGTTTGGTGGGGAGAGGGAGACTCAGGGCCTAAGTAATGCCCAGGGGAGATCCTGTCTCTTGAATCCGGTTCCTGACTGTGACCCCTAGCATCGTCCATGCCCCTCCCACCCCAATGTGCCTGGGGGGAGGGCGGCAGGAGACCCTGGGTTCTCCTCAGCTCTGTTCCCAACGGGCTGAGAGCCGCAGTGGTCAAGTCCCCTCTGGCCGTCCGTTTGCCAAGCTCCAGGGTGGCCCAAGCCTGCAGGCCCCCTCCCCCTGACACTCGGGCCAGGTGGGCGCAACAACCAAGCATTCCAGGTCGCCCCCCCCCCAGCCGGGAGGGGGAAGCGGCGCCTATCCCCCATTGCACACTCATCGCGCCCTACCCGGCGGTGACGCCCCCCCCGCCCCCGCCCCCATCGCGGCGCAGCCCGCACTGCGCGGGAACCCTCTGCAAAGCGAAGCGTACGTACATCTGGCGGGCTGTGCGCCGAGCCGGGGCGGCCCCCGTGCGCTCCGCTCCGCTGTCTGTTGCCGCCGTTCTGCTGGGGCGACCCCCATCCGCTGCCGCCAGACGGGGAAGGCGACCGGCTCCCGCTGGACCGCTGGCTGCCCGTCTTCCGCCCGTCATCTCGGTGCTTGGGGCTCAGCCTTGGAGGGGGAGGGAAGATGGGGGGAGCCGGCGTGGGACGCCCCCTCTGCAAGTGGAACCGCTGCCCCCGCACGAAGAGCAGCCCCCCACCCGCCTCCTCCCTTGCATTCAGAGAGCAAAGCCCTAACCTGCACACTGCCTCGATTTCCAGTTCAAGGTCTGGGGCGTCTCTGGGCAGGGGCCGAAGCTCTTCCTCGCCCACTGCCAGGTGGGTGGGCACATGCTCACTCCTGGTAGACTTCCATCCTCCCCCCCATTGCTGTTCTGTCCACCGACCGTCCTCTTCCCCAGCCCCCTCTCCAGCCCTCGGGAGTGTTCCATCTGCAAGAAAGCCGAGCTGAACCACCTCTGGAGTGCTCCCAGGGGCCCCGGACCTACCTGCTGGGTGATCTGGAATCGCTGTAATGGGAGGAGAGGGAGGGGCTCTGAGAGCTGCCGCTGCTGTGGCGATTGGACCTCCGACCCGGGGACTCTGTGTGTGGCCTGGGAGAGAAGCCAGCCAGTACCTAAGTTCTGCCTGACCTCCCCAAGGAGGACCCCACCCCCCATAGTGTCCTACAGATATAACCTCCCTAATCCAGGTGGGTCATTTGTGGGAATTAGGAAAAGGCGTCCTTTTGTCTAGACAGCTCTGGTCCCCAAGACCTCACTGACCCCTCAGCTGGTGCTCTTGTGAGGAGGGGTGGAGGGATGTGGGGGGAGTGACGAGGGCCGAGCTTGAAAGAACCCTGGACTAGGAGGCAGGAGGCCTGGGTTCCAGTTCCCGCTCTGTCACTGACTCGCAGGGGTTCTTGGCTTCCTCTCTGGGTCTGAATTTTTCCATCTGGGCAGCGGGACGAAATGAACTGTCTCCAAGGGTCCAATTCTGTGATTCTAGAAGGGGGAGGGGGAGGAGCTAGAGAATGATGAAGGGTTCTCACCTCTTCCTCTCTTTGTTCTTCTCTTTTCTTTTGCTCTTGGGGCTTCGAGATCTGCAGAAAGCAGAGGCTGAGGTGACAGCTCAGCCTGAGCCCAGCAGGGGGGCAGGAGGAGGGCTGTGCCTGGGTGTGGATCTGAGATTTGTTCCTGTGTGGGACCTGAGTCCCCACCCCCAGCCAGGCAGACTTGCTCATCCCACCCCACTGCTTTGGTTCCTTTCACTCAGCCAAGCCTCCTTCCTTCCTTCTCCTGTAGGCCCTGGCCCACGACCACTGCCTGTCTGAGCCCCAGTAGCTGCTTCTCCTGGGGGTGCCATAAGTGATGTGTCCACCACCCCAGAAAGAAGGCTGACTTGTCCTTTCCTTCTGGAATCGGTCTCAGGACAGGCCCTTCTATAAGTCATCATGCTGGAGTGGCCCCTCCACACCTTGTTTGTGTCCCCTGGGTCCCAGGTCCCCTCAGATGGGCTCTCTAGGGCAGAGCCCAGGCTTTCCTGCCTCTTTGCCCCCTCAGACTGTGGCTCAGCTCTGGGCCAGCTCCCCAAGGGTTTAGGAAAGAAATACTCTCCCTTGGGCATGATCTCCCTGACATTTGGGTCTTTTGGATTCTCATCGAGGGTTGCCCCTAAAGCTTCCCATCCCACCCAATCCTGCCCCATACTGTCCCATCCCATCCAGCTCTGTGGGGCAGGCTCCAGAGTCCTTCTCCTTCTATCTTTGACAAAGGGATTGAAAATCTTCCTAGTAGGTGTCTAAGGTCTCACTCCACCCCTGGTCCCTGTAAGCCCCTCAGCCCCACCCTCCCCGATGCCACCAGATTCCAGCTTGATCCTTCTAGCCCTGAACAGATGCCTTCTTCTGACCAAATATCCAGGTGATGCTAAGAAACAACAGGATGTGTTTTTCACAGGAGCAGGGTGGGTGGGGGCAGGCCCAGGAGGCCAAAGATTTCATTTCTAGGACTCATGTTGCTTGCTTTGGGCCTCAGTCTCCCCATCTGGAGCTGGTCTAGCCCTAGGTCACCTTTAGGTCCTTCCCAGGACCAATGGGAGCTGGCCGGAGGATCGGTGCAGACCTATGGTGACCACTAGGGGGCAGTAGGGGCCCACACTGGCCGCTAAGAAGAGGGGAGGAGAGGAAGGGAAAGAAGGGGGGATGGGAAACTGGGGAAATTGGAGGGTCAGGATTAGGTGTTTATTTATGCTCCTACCCCACCTGACAAGTGGCCATGGGCAAAGTCCCACTGCAGGAATGAGACTGGGGACCCTGACCCTCTTCAGGGCCACTGGGAGGGGCTCTGTCTCCCATGCCAGCCCTGGGGATGTGACTGCCCTACATCTTCCTTTCCTCCTCGCTGAGTTTTCTACTTTCCCCACCCCAGCCTCTGCCAGGGCTCTTGACTCTCATCTCCTCCTCCCCCCTCCCCCAGTCCATCCTGAACAAGTCTCTGTCCTGCTCAGAGCCCCATGCTGGCTCCCAGCCCTGTCTGGTTGGAGGCTACCTCCTTGACCTGACAGTCAGGTCTTTGGGGGGCTGGCACCTGTCCCCCAGACACCATGGCTAACCACAGCCTGCCTACCGGTCTCCTACCTACTGAGCTTTCCTTCTGTATGGATGCCCTTTCCCTGCAAATTTGGGGTCCTGATGCTTCTTCCTTCCTGACGCCTCTATGGACACACCCCTTGGATAATGGACCCATTGTGTTGTCTGGAAATTCTTAGGGTCCCCAGGTCAAGGCTGACTCATGGGACCAGCAAGTGTTGCAAACACTTGGTCTCCATCCTCCTCTCCCGCCCTCCTTCCCCTGCTTGGCTCTGGGAAGGAGTCCCAGGAGCGGGGAGGATGGAGCAGGGAAAGACCCTCACCACCCTCCTCCCATCATTGCTTCCCTTGGGCCTTGGCCCTGCAGGGTGGCACTAGCCTCTGTCCACATCCTCAGCAGGGCATCACTCACCTGTGTCGTCTCTTCCTCCGGGACCCAGAATCAGACCTGGAGGGCCACAAAAGAGTTCTCTTGAGTTTGTCTGGGGTGGCCTGGGGACACAAATCTGCACAGCCACAGTCCTGGGCCAACAGAGGTGAGAGGACACCCCAGGGGAGAGAAGGTACCTGTCTCTGCGGTGCTTCTTCACACTCTTCTTCTTCTTGCGCTGCGGTGAGGAGCTCCCACAGCTGCGGACACAGGGGGGTGGGGGCTCTGGTGAACCGCTGCCCGAGAGGGGCGGGGCAGGGGCAGCTGGACATGGCTGGGAAGTCTGGGCGCCTGGGGCATCTAGCTGAAGCCAGCTGCCCGTTGCACAAAGTGAACCGGGGCCCCGAGAGTCAGCAAGGTCCCTAAGAGTGGGTGACAGAGCCGCCCGTGTTGTCTCCTAGCCACCCTTCAGCCTCCTTGGCATCATAAGTGAGGGCTGATTCACACCCAAATGTCAGAGGCTCCAGTGGTGGCATTCCTGGCCTCCGTGGGGAAAACCAGCACTCTGGCAGTTTCCAGGGTCCAGACTCTGGTGTGGCTGGCCGCCTGCCTCTGAGGGATGGCCTTGGAGTCTCGCCCACCCAGACATCCCCACCCCGGCCCGCCTTTATCACTGACCTGCACTCGGAGTCCAGTCTCCTCTTTTTGCTGAGGGGCCAGGGAGAGAAAAGGACAGACAGACAGTTGGGGCTCCAGACGTTTGCCAGGTTCTCATTAAGGACAGGAGAGGGGGACATACAGATGGGGAACTGCAGAGGTGACCCAGCTAAATCCTTCCTCCCCAGGCCACTCACACTTGGTGTAGTGAGTGACTGGAGGGCTGCTGGGGAGGGAGGAAGGGGGACCTCCAGCAGATGGACTGTCACCCAGGGGTCAGTATGTCCAGTTCTGGGGTTGGGTGAGTGCCAATGAGGGGACTCAGTGAGTGGAGGGGCCCGGCCAGTGAGGGGCCAGTGGAGGGCGGGGGGGGGGGGGGGGGGGGGGGGGAGGGGCTCAGCGAGGGGCGGGGCTCCCAAATGCAGCCTCTGGTCTCTTGCCCGCAGAGGGGTGGGCACCCAGGCATCGCCGCCCCTCCCGCCCCTCCCGCCCCCTCCGGACTGGCGGTGAGGCGCTCTCACCGGCTTCTCCGGTGGCCGCCTTTCTTTTTCTTCTTCTTCTTGGGAGGGGGCGACGCTGAGCTGCTGGACCAGTGCTTGGTCCTGGGGGAGAAGGGGAGGAGGGGTGAAGGAGGAGGGGCGGCCGTGGCCCCCCCCGCCCCCTGCCGCGGCGGGCGCTGACCTGTACCCCCGGTGCCCGCGGTAGCAGGCGGCCGGGCAGTCGCAGTCCACCGGGCCGTCGTCCTCGTCCAAGGGCGCGTACTCCAGGCCCGGCTCCGCGCCCTCGAGCAGCCGCGGGGTCTCCGCCACGCTGCCGGCGACAGGGACGCTCACCACCCGCGCCCCGGGGCCGCGCCTTCCGCCTGCCCCTTTCTCCGCGCAGCGCCCCGAGGCCTGGTTCCCCGCAAGGTCGGCGGGGTGCGGCCCCGAGGGTCAGGCGGGTATCTGGGTGACCTGATGGGCTGCCTCCAGGGCACCCCCCCCCCCCCCCGCTTCAGCGGTGCCCTCCCGCCTCCCTTGGTCCTCACCCCTTCTACGGTCTCACCTCTCAGTGAGCCGCCTCCTCCTTGGTGAGGCCCTCCCCTCACCGAGGCCCTCGGTTCCATTCACGGTGTTCCTCTCCTCTCTCCCGCCCCGCTTTCCCTCATAGAGCCCCTTTCACCGACCCTGTCCCTGAGCCCCACTGTCCGTCCCACCCCTAGCCCCCTGCCCCTCGCTCAGCCCACTCCTCCTCCGCAGTCCCCCTTCCCTCGTGAGCTCCCAGAGAGCCCCTTCCCATCTCCTAGCTCCCCCTCTCTGGTGTCAGTCTTTTCCTAACTCGGGCTCGCTGGCCTAGTCCCCTCCCCCCCTCCCCCCCGCCCCCCGCCGGGCTTCTCCCTCCCTCCACCCCCAACACCCCTTCCCCCAGCCCCCCGGCTGCCGCTCTGAAATATTCATGGCCTGTCCTCCCGAGGCCTGGCTGCTCTTCTCCCGCTGCCGGGCTGTCATCAATCACTGCCCGGTGGCAGCGCCGTGGGCCCCAGCCCTGCGCAGCCGCCCAGGCTCCCCATCCATCTTGCCGAGCCCTCCGCTGCACTCCGCCGGGGCGCCGCGGCCAGCTCGGGAGCCCCCAGCCATCTTCTGCCACACATGTTTGCTCCCTGCGGGCACTTGGTGGAGGGAGGCTTGCCTCCTAAAGGCAGCTGGGTTTCGGGCAAGAGCATGAGCTTCCAAGCGACAGAGGAGCCCTCATCTCGCGCTGGCCCTGAGTCCCCGCGTGACTTGGTACCTGTCGTGCCCGTGCCTGAGCCTCTTCTCCAGGATGAGTGTGATGACTACGTGATGGGGCTCCTGGGAGAATTCGCTGGGGTAACCGTACCGCGCAGCTCCTTTTTTAATTGAGCGAGCCCAGAAGTGAGCCTCCAAAGACCAAGCTCCAGGGCAATGGCTTCAAGGTGGGGGCCTCCCCACCTCCCATTCTTCGGTTCATGCAGGTTCCGACAGTGCCCCTCCCAGAGGGAGCCTCATCCCTGGTTCGGCACCACTACCCTCACTCCTGGGTGCCCTTCACCAGGCTCACTCATTCCCTGCCCAGAGCATTAAGGATATGGCAGGAGCTCTGGATTCACACAGACAGGTCTCAAGCCAGGCATGACCGTGCTCACGGAGTCTCCAGCTCCTTATATCTCCACAAGCAGGAAAAGAATATCCCAGCTGAGGAGAGGATTAAGTAAGATTCTGTCTGTGAAGCTCCTGACAGGAGCAACAGGCCTGGCCCACGACAGTTGTCCCGCACATGGTCGCCACTGTTAGACGGAGGGAACCCTGTTAGACACTAAGGCACCGACGCCTTCTCTTCCAGGGTTGTGACACGTGAAAGAAAGAACAGAATTTTCAGGGACACATCTCCAGGAGAGCACCCACAAATCTGCTCTTTGAAGGACTGATGTTGTACTAAAAAAAAAGAATGGGGGGGGCGCCTGGGTGGCTCAGTTGATTAAGTGTCTGACTCTTGATTTCGGCTCAGGTCATGATCTCAGGGTGGTGAGAGGGAGCCCCGTGTCAGGCTCTGTGCTGGGTGTGGAGCCTGCTCGAGATTCTCTCTCTCTCCCTCTCCATCTGTCCCTTCCCTGGCTCTCTCTCTCGCTAAACAAACAAACAAACAACAACCAAAAAACCTCCCCCGAAAAAGAATGTAACCCAAATCTGACAGGGAAGCAATACCCCTTGGGGCCTATATCAAGAATGCCATTTGATTCCTAAACACACACCTGGTCTGGGCAACCCTGAGGTCACACAGGTAGTATGGGAGATTTTTCTGGGATGGTGGAGGAGGGGTTCATGTCATCCTTCCTATCCCCACAGAGCCAAACATCCCCACAGCCCTCCATTCAAACCTCTCTTCCCCACATTCCTCTTCCTGAAGCCAGCGGCCTCCTCCTTTCTGTTTCTGAAATCTCCAGCTCCTCAGCCTGTCCAGCCCCCCACCATCCCCAGCCCTGTCACCCCCACACAGCCCTCAGCCACACAAATGCCGGACACATAAAACACAGTCTTTAGCAAAACTTAAGGGCCCCTCAAACATTGTGTGGGTGAGCTGATGGCTGGAGGGAGCCTCTGTTTATCTTGACACAAATGTGATGAAGGTTATTTACAAAATAGAATAGCTCAGTTTGGACACTGCCCTCTGCAGGAATCCTTTTTTGCCTGTAATATCTGAACTCCTTCCCGTGCTGTGCCCTCCTGGTCTGCTGGCCACACCCCTACAGACATCTTTCTTCCTCTGGCCCAGGGATAGAGCTTCTGCAACCTCCCTCCCGGGGGTCCTCTCATGTGGTCTTTCTCACTCTCTGGTCCCTTCTGAGAGGTTTACTTGGGATCTTGTCTGCTAGGAGCATTGAAAGACAAGCATAGAGCATGAGTAGTAGGCTCAGGGAGAGGCACAAGTTCTCAGAACTTTCTGGTAAGACTTGCCTTGCATGTTCCAGGGCTATAAATGGGCCTAGGCTGCGGCCTCTCTTGCTGAGTTTGTACAGCTGGTATCAGGATATCTGTTTTGTAGGATCTCCCAGCCTAGAAACCTGGGTTCTCCTAGCCTGCCTTTCCTAGATGATAATATCACTAACAATAATGTTCTCTAACGTTTCCATGAGCTCCTCATGGTTCACAAATCCCAATCCGAACCACTACCTGATTGAGAGAAATCGCACCCCCCATTTACAGATGAATAAACTGAGGCCCAAAGAATGAAAGGAACATCCCCTCTGAGTAGAGAATGTAAGTTCACTTAGGCAGTTGGCTTTGAGAATTCATGGTCAAACAGACAGGCCTTTACTTTCCTGGCTGGCTTCCGCTGCAGATGTTAGCTCAGCCATGGCCTCTCTGCTTTATAGACACATTTGTAGGTATATGCACCAAGTTCCAGATTTGTTCAGCACTTCCTGCTCTTAAATTCGTGTTTGTCAGCTAGTCGACACCTCCCCATGTCTGTGGACTAGGCAGGGGAGGCATTACTCCCCTGTGACGGAACAGTCCAAGCCCCACAGAGCTGGCCAGAGCCAGCCACGCACTCGGGGTCTACTGCAGAGGGACGGACCACGGATGGAGGTTCCGCACCGCACAGGACACCTGTTGGGACTGGCTGCCCTGGGCAAGGCTCTGACCTGGGTAAAGACTGCCGCTCACACGCTCTTCTCATGCCAGTTTCTCTAATGAACTGGCTCTGTTTGCCACTAGCCGGGAGCATAATGGCCAACTGACAGATGAATGAGGCCAGGCAGAGGAGGGGAGGATTCCAGGCAAAGGGTCTGCCCTCTCTGCTCATTCACGCAGCCAGCGCCAGGCCTGCCTGGGGCCTGGGCAGGGGGGAAGTGGGGGAGGGGGCCCCCACGGTGACAGGAACAGGGATGAGTCAGGCCTGGGGCCTCTCCTCTGGTTCCTCACAGTGCCCTGGGGCGTATTGTGATAATTACTAACGCAGGTGTCAGGTACTATTCTAAGCAGGAATCCTTTTTTTAAAGCACTTGATGTGTGTTTATCTCATTTAGTCATTTAATGCACAGAACAAGTCAGTGACATGGGTACCATCACTAATATTCTCATCTTATAGATAAAATAATGAGGCCCAGAGAAGTGGCTCGATGCATAAAATTAGATGCACAGAAAAAAACACTAGAATTTGCTCACTGTGTGAGGGAGTAGCTTATGAATATTGTTTTCCATAAACCCTCTCTCTCCCAAGCATTTTGTGATGTTACATAACTATGAAAGCAATTATTTCTTAAAGGTTGTCTATCAGAGTGAGGGACGAAAAAATAAAAAAGAACTGATAGCAACCACAAGAAGTAAGAAAGCATCGTGTGGATTCCAAGGAGGAGAAGGTTTCGCTTTTATCCCGAGAATATTGGGAAAGTGGTTTTTAGAGGCAGCCCTGAACGATGGGGCGAACTTGAACCAGGTGCAGAAGGGCCTAGCATGAGCAAAGGCATGAAGGGAGAGCGTGCAGGACGGAGCTGGGGTCTGCCAGCAGGTCGGGCTGGCTGCTGCGTGAGGCTGGGAGTGGGGCACCAGGCTGGGCTGAGGGTGGGGAGAGCCTCCCAGCGCCAGGCCAGCGAGTGCAGCTTGGCTGCATGGGAGCTGGGGAGCCACAGAGGGTTTCCAAGGAGAAACAGGCTCCCCACATCGATCAGTTTCCAAGGACAAAGGCGTGTCCTCTCTCAATGTCTCTGGGACGTTCTCTCTCTCGCCTTGCTTCCCAATTAGAGTGCCAGCCGCCCCACTAATCTCCCTGCCGTGTCACCCTTCTTATTCCTCTTCCCAAGAGGGAAGTCCCCAAACACCTGTCTGACCACATCATGCCTCCCGGAAACCTTCCACTGGCTCCCATCATCTACGGAATAGATGTCCTGTATCCAGTGTGGAGAGTAGACCGAAGGGGGTCTGTCTCAAGAGGCTGTCACTCCAGACCAGTCAATTAACTTAAGGAAAAAAGATGATCTCTGGGGACAAAAAGCTCTGGGAATGACCCTGCCCCCTCGAGACTCTTTTCTTGAGTGGGAGGTGCCATGGGCTCTTACAGTCCATAGCGGGTTAAAATCAGACGTCCCTCCTCACTTCCTCCCCTTGTGGGGACCCTTCTACTGGCTCTGGCTTTGCCACCTCACTCTAAGAGGGCATCGGATTTCTCCATGTCTCAAAATGCCGGTGTATGAGGGGTTGGGGTCTCAGGGGCAGGAAGCCAGATGCATAAGCACAGGGACTGCTGGGTGGTCCACTGTACAAATAAAGAAGCGAAGGCCCAGAGAAATCAAGGACCTGCCCACGTCACACAGCTGGGGTGTGGCGGAGCTGGGATCCAGGGCCCAGGCGGTGCACACTGAGCTTAGAGGTTGGGGCAGGTGAGGTATCTGACGCCAGAGCCCACACTCTCCTTCCACTACCCCAGACTCTGAGCTAGGAAGTGAAGACAGGCTCAGATGCCCAGTCCGCAGGAAGGCGGGCCAATCTGTCACCAGCTCCCTGTCACCTCTCTGCCTTGGGCCTTGGGTTCAGCACCAAAACAGCTAGCTCCTCCCAGCCTGTGAGGATTCCAGGCGGCCATCAGCCTCCTTGGCTTGCTGTGGTCACCGGAGTGCTATTTTCACACCGTTTGGGCTGCCTGAGCTAGGAGAAGCCCCTGACCCTGTCCCTTTTCCCATACAGAGGAGGAGACAGACTTCGGGGAAAATCGGGCAAGCTGCACTGTTCTAGGCACCAGGGAGATAGCAGTAAACAAAACCAATAAAGATGGGCGCCTGGGTGGCTCAGTCGTTAAGCGTCTGCCTTCGGCTCAGGTCATGATCCCAGGGTCCTGGGATCGAGTCCCGCATCGGGCTCCCTGCTCAGCAAGAAGCCTGCTTCTCCCTCTCCCATTCCCCCTGCTTGTGTTCCTGCTCTCACTATTTCTCTCTCTGTCAAATAAATAAATAAAATCTTAAAAAAAAAAAAAAACAATAAAGATCGTGTCTTCGATGTCTTCCAACATGAGAGTGGGATCCCAGGACCCGTGGTCGAGGCTATATTCTCCTCTGCCTCTAGAGCAGGAGTCCTCCCTGACCCCCGAGTCTTCCAGACACTGCCCCTTCCAAGGGACCCTTCCTGACTGACCACACCCGCCCTCCACTGAACACACACAGGCCCGAGGGCTAAGGGGTTCAAGGGGCTACCCTGTTGTCTCTTCTGGTCAGGAGTTGCTGGTAATTCCTGGCTTCAGGTTGCAGAGGGCGGGGACCCCACCTTCCCCGCTTCTCCTCCCCACTCCTAGCACCGGCACAGGGGGAGGCGTGCAGCACAGACCCTCAAGGACATGTCTTCTGATGATGGACACAGTGGCAGATTTCCCAGCGCGTCCCCGGTTCTTAAATGCATCATTCCTTCATCCGAGGGAAGATCAGATCAAGACGACTGAAGAAGACTGGAGAGTCACTCGCTCAGAGGAGGCGGTCCCAGCTGGCTCACAGATGAGATTCCCCCCAGGGAGTGGAGGGAAGGGTCCCACATTTGGGAGGAGGGCGGGAGCAGGAGAGACAGAGAGAGCCACCGGAGGGGCAGGGGCGACACGGAACCGCACCCTGGAAGCCAGGGGAAGAGGAGGCTTCCAGATGGGGAAGCACCTGCCAGAGAGAGAGGCCAGGCCTGCAGAGAGGCACAGTGCCACGAGGAGTAGGACTCTGGAGGCCACAGGGCAAGCAGGTCACGGGAGTTAGGGCAGAAACCCACCATGGCTCCCGTGGCCTAGGGAAGTAGAGGTCAAGTGTGCCACAAACTCCACGGAAATTCGGTTGAGAAAGGAGAGAAAAACGTAGGGTGGTGACCAGAGGAGGAAGCGGAGTTGAGGAAGGATGGGACTTCCATTAAAAGGAAGGAGCCCGGAAGAGGGAAGAAGGGCAGGCTTCTTGCTGGAAGGGCCAGGGAAGATGGCCGGAGAGTCCACACAGGACTCTTGCCCTCACACTGTGTGGAAGAGCGTGACTTTCCAGAAAAGGCCTGGGGTGATTTGAGGGGGCACAGGTCAGAAAGCCAGGACCTCTTGGTTTCGGGGAGGATCTGGTTGTCAGGAGCTCTGGGAAGGGGAGAGAGGCGTTGGCCCTGCTCTTGGGTGAGTAGGGCTGGATGGGCACCACCGAAGGGAGGGCGCAGGAGTGGCTGGGGGTGCTGTGAGTTCTGGGTGGCTGGAGAGAGGGAGGTGGTGGTAGCATCACCTCATCACCTCTGAGCCTGGCTCCCCCAGATCACCCATGAGCCCCCCACAAGCCTGGGGCTGCTCTGACCATGTTTGCTCCTGCCCAACCCCGAACCGGAGAGGTGAGGTTTAGGTGAGGTCAGGCAGGACTCCCCCACCCCTGGAGCCCTCAGTGGTCCAGAAGGAAGAAGAAAGGGCTTCCCCGCTGCCCATCCAGGTCCGTCTACTCCCGAAGGGCCATTTGTCCTTACGACAACAGCAATGGGAAAATCTCTCAGAAGGTGTTGCTGTCCTTTTGATTTGTGTGAGATAAGGTGACAGGGGTTTAGGGCCTCAGCAAGATGCCTGCTCCCCAAGTTAGTCCCACCGTGGAGGAAATGCCAGGAGCATTTACCCTGGCTGCTCACCCGGCCTCGGTCCCACTTAGAGCCAGGACTGGGTGGGGGCTCCGAGGCTGAGCAAGGGGAAGGTCCATGAGTGGATTCCATGATGCTCCTTCGTGCGCACTGCCTGCAGGGCATGGGGCTCGGTCAGCCCTCCCCCCACCCCTACCCCTGGGCCTGGGCACTGGCAGGGACAGGTTGCCTCCACCATCCTCACAGCAGCCTGCTGCATTCTCCTCCGGCTTTGAGTGATTCCCAGGTCTCTAACGTGAGACAGATCTGCTGCCCCATCACTTCCCTGTTTGATGCCCAGGGGCCCACGGCACGCTGGTACTCCTTCTGGCCCATGACAGGAGCAAGAGGTGACCCCCGCAGAGCCCTTGTTCTTGTTACCCGACAAGACTTTGACCATGCGAGCAATGGCATTTGGTGTGTTGGTTCCTACTTTCCAGAACCCATGTTTACTCTGGGGCCCGCCCATTTTACAGGTGGTAATAGTTGGGGAGGACGGACTGGCCCAGGGCCACACTGTCAGCCAGTGGCCATGCCTGGGGTCAGAACATTTCTAAGTTTCACAGATTTGCAGCCTAGGATTCCCCAAGTTGGGCTCTGGGCTGCCTCCCCACTGCTGAACCATAGCAGGGGAGCCCTGGGGGATGCTGGGGGGCCCAGTGGCCCCTGATTTGTGCCCAGGGCCAGCCAGAGCTTCCAGTGGATGGGATGCATGCCCTCTCCTCCACCTTGCCGCCCCCCAGCCCCCTCTAGAAAGGCCCTTCTGGCACCCAGCTGCTGCCTGAGCTCACATCCTCCCCTGCCCCACCCCCAGGCAGGGGATCACTCACATGTGGCCCCCAGGCCGGTCCTCCCTGGTGAGCATTCCCTCCTTCTCCATCAGCATCTGCCGGAAAGTCCTGACCTTCTGCCGGGTCTCCTCCTCTGAGTACCTGTAGGGGCATGGGGAAGGTGAGGGCTGCTGTCTTGGCTTTCCTTCCCTCCCTGCCTGCTCCCCCCACACCACCCCTCCCCCCATCACAGGTGCACCTTCCAACTTGCAATGACCCGTCCGAGGTCCCACCACCAAGCAAGGCTTTCAGCGCTGGGGAAGCTCAAGACCTACCCGTCTGGCACCGAACCAGGCAAACCACCAACTACACAAACAAGCAACAACTAGCCAAACAACCAAATGAACTAAAGGAATTGTTCTTCGAGGTGGGGAGACTGTCCAGCGGAGGCTGTGCCCTTCCTCCCGGTCCTCCTCTACTCCCAGGGCAGACTGCCCACCCACATCCAGACTACAGTCACTCTCTGGAGACATATTAAGGGAGAAATGAAGATCCAGGCCTTTTCTGCTTTCCTGGCTTCAAAGACATCTGATCCTCACAACAGCCTTGGGAAGTCCTCAGAGCATCCCAATCTCTGCATGAGCAAGGCTGCCAAGTGGCTTGTCCCAGATCCCAGTGCTAGATTCAATGTTTCCCAGTCTGGCAGGTGACGTGGATGAGGTCTGGTCTTGAATGAATCCCCTGACTTCTCTATTCCCTTCTCCCTCCCTCCCTAAGCCCAGGCTCAGGCTAGGGACCAAAGTCCAGAATGATCGTCCTTGCTCCCACGCCCCGGGATCCATCATGATCCTCTCTCACTGCGCCCCCGTGACAGCCGCTGCAGGGCCTCTCAGCTCCTCTGGCATGTCCCCCTCCAGCCTGTGTCCACGCTGCCCTAGGGCAGGGGTGGGGGGGAATCTTTGCTCACCCAGCCCCTTGCCCTGTGCCTGGCACACAGCACCTGCCTGTTACTGAATGAGTCTCGGGGTCCTAAACCCCTCACTCTCCCCTTCCTGGGCTGCAGGTCATTGTCCCAGATGGAAAACATGGTGGTGGCAAAACAGGAACTGGGTTCTGTCTTGTGTCTGTCCTCTGCTCACCAGCTGCTCTGTCCACACAGCAGACCCAGGCCTCCGCACGGAGCATGTCCATGAAAATGGCACGTCGTTGCCCCTCAGGGACCCCATGGCTGTCCTCCCTCCTCTTCTCCTCCCTTCTCCCCCACCCCCAACTTCTCCAACAGGTATTTGGGATTGGCCCAGCCTTTTTGGAGAGCAATTTGGCAAGTCCTTGCAAAACCCTTAAAAAATGGGCACATCTTTTGACTCATAAAATTAACTTGCAGGTTTACCCTGTGGAAATAATCATGGCTAAGCACAAAGACGTGACTCATGGGATGTTTACAGCAGGACGGATACCCCCCGCCCCAGGTTAGGTGCCCACATTTGTGTTTCCATAGCAACCTGTACCTCCAGGTGGCTCCTGTGCTAGTCTACCTGTTGACTGACTCCTCTGTCTCCTACACTGGCCTGGGAGTTCCCTGAGGGCAGGGCCTTATCTGTCTGGATTGCCACTGTATACCCAGCATCTGGCACCTTGTCTGACATGTGGCATCCACATTTTTTTGACAAACGAGTGGCTGGTGATGGAGAGGCATCGAACTGTTTGCAGGCTGGATTTTCATTTTGGACATCTGTCTCTGGTAGCTGCACGGCTGGAGGGGAGGGATCTGGAGGCAGGGAGGCTGGCCCTGGGCTACTGTAGGGGTTTGTGCAGGAGATGGTGAAGTCGGAGCGAGAGAGTGGCCATGAGGATACAGGCGAAGAAGCAGACAACAATCCATCACGGACGCAGGATGACTGGGGCCTGGAGACCGACTGAGGATGTCAGGGGCTACATGAGGAGCACTAGCTGCTTCTTAGCACGCATCCCCTGACCCCCAGCTGTGCTCTGTCCTTCTGCAGGTCCAGGTACCTGTGTTGTGGCCCACCGTAGGGAGGATTAGGTCATGCCTGTAAGAGCAGGGCCCCTCTCTTCCAAGCCTGGGTCTTGGCTCATCAATGTCCACCCCAGTTCCTGCTAGCCTCAGACTTGGGCATTTGGCTGGAGGTGCCTTGGCCTTTCTTGTTGGGCAGTGCAGAGCCCTTGGTCGGCTGGGCTGTCCCGGTGCCCAGGAAGAAGGAGTGGTCGCATTTTCTGAGCGGTGGAGGCACAGAGGAACTCCTCCCACCTCACCTTCTCCTCGGGAGACAGGCTTGTCATTGGCAGCAGCATAGAGACAAACAGCAGAGGCCCTTCCACACTGCCCAGCCCCCGGCTCACAGGGCTCTGGGAGGGAGAGATAGGCTGGCTGGGCCATTAGGCATGGGGCCCTGGGCCTGGAGGGGTTGGGGAGGAAATGGTCCAAAAGCGAGGCTGGGCCAGATCCTCAGTTGAGGGATGGGCTTCAGGCCACGGTCCACATTCCCCGGACTCCTGGGGTCTGTGGAGCATATGAGGCTGGGCGGTAGGAGCAGAAGTCAGGGTTTCATTGAGACCTGGAGCAGGACATGTGCAGGGAAGGGACTTAGGGCTCAACCTAGAGCCGGCAGGCTCCAGGACTCCAGCGTGTGTCGTTGGGAGGCCGGGAGGGCTGGACTGAATGGACGTGGAGACTTGGGGAGGACCCCTCTATGCCCCGGGACATCTTGCTGGGAGAAGCTGGGGACCCGAGGATGGGCAAAGAGGTCTTGAGTACAACCACTACCTCCAAGTCTCCTGCTCCCTCATGCCTCTTGAGGTCAACCCTCAGCCAAGGCCATGTTGGACCATGAGTAAGGGAAGAGGCCGAGAACCAGGCAGTCCTATTTTTGAGTCCTGGCACCCCCCACTTCCTAGCTCTGTGACCTTGGACAAGTCCATACACTTCTCAGCCTCAGCCTCTACATCTGTGAAATGGGGTAGTAACTTGTCTTTCAAGGCTGTTGCAAGGATTAAGGGAAATGATGCTTACAAAGCACTTTGTGCAGTGGGTGGCACATAGTAGCTGCTCAATAAATAGTAAGGACTATTTGGGGGCCCTGGGTAGCTCACTTGGTTGGGTCTCTGCCTTAGGCTCGGGTCATGATCCTGTGTCCTTGGGATCGAGCACCGAGTCGGGCTCCCTGCTCAGCGGGGAGCCTGCTTCTCCCTCTCTCTTGGCTCCTCTGCGCGGTTCGTGCTCTCTCTCTCAAATAAACAAACAAAATCTTAAAAAAAAAAAAAAAGGACTATTTGTCGCAGAGCAGGAGGGACAGAGGATCTAGTAGTCCTAGGCTCCCTGCCTTTTTCCACACCACACCCCTGCCAGGTCAGCATCGTCCCAGGTTGGGAATCACCTGGGACTCTTGTCCCTGGAGGCAAGGGCCTGGAGGCAAAGGCCGAGATAGGGAGGCTGGTACCAAACCATCCACTCCTTGTGGGGGTGGCAGCACTTGCCAGCTTAAGACCATGCAGGGGGTCCAGCTGCCGTGCCAAAATCTCAGGCTAAAAGTCAAAGGCTTGGCCAGGGAACTGGGGACAGGGAGGGCAGTGACACCTGTCTCAGTGTCCCCACCAGGAAGGAGTCACAAGGGAAGGACAGGCCAAATTCGTTGTTGCTCCCTGGATGGCCCTCTGGGGTTGGGGTGCAGTAAGGAGACACTGCATTTTCAAAGAGGTCCCCAGATTAGAAATTGTGTCATTCTGCCCGTTTCTGCCCAGACCTGGAGGTTCCTAAATAATCGCTTCCTTGGTCACTAATTTGTTCTTCCCTGCAGCTCTGCGGCAGTGGGCAGCCTTCCTCTTCCCATCTGATGGATGAGGAAACAGAACAGGGAGAAGGGAGGCCTCCAAGCTCCAAGCTCTGTGCACCTTGGGAGTCCTCACAGGAAGGAGCATAGGTGGGTGTGTGTGGGAGGGAGTCGGGGCTGGGGTGGGAGCAGCATACCCCACGGGGGGGCTCTGGCCCTGGCCCTCCGGTGATTGCGGGCTGCCCGCGGAGGCTGCCGGGGAAGGTGACTCCAAAGCAGCATCAATCACCAGTGAATTAACCAGCCATCCATCAATATTAGGGAAGGGATTGCTTTTTAATGGGGCCAAAGAATGTGTGTTCCTGTGACTCGTGGGAATATTTGTCAAATGCCTGAGAACCTGGTAAATAAGCTCGAATGAACCAGTGTTTGTAGAAACAGATATTAATGACTAGATTCTATAACAGAGCAAGGGTGCCCAGTGTTCGTGGAGCACTTTATGGGGACTGGCTGGAGGTGGGGAAGCCCCGAACATCTGTAGCCCATGGGACTCTCAGAACGACTCCCTATTTCACAGGCCAAGTAGCCGTGGCTTGCTCACGTCTGGGCTGTGCCCTCCACTGACCAGACTGCTGCTAAGGGGTGGCAGTGGGGGGCTGGTGACTTGAGAGCTAGCTTTCCAGGAGACTCCAGTCTAAGGACCACCTGGAGTGAGGGCTTGGGTGGGGGAAAGGGCACTCACTAGAGCCCTGGTGGGTGCCTCCCAGAGAGGCATGGGTCCTTGATGCCAGGGGACTGACATCAAGGACATGGCCAAACACCAACCCCTTCTGCCTAAGGCTGCCCTCATCTGATAATGACCCTCTGGTGTGCAGTGAGGGGCTGGGGGCTCCTGGAGGAGGAGATTCAGCCAGGGTGAGGAGGCTTGGAGGGGAGGGGCGCCATGAGAAGGGGCCTTAGGAGTTCCCTGATAGAATGGGGCTCTGCAAGGGGGAGAGAGGGGGCTCAGGAAGGAGGTGGGGCTCCGGGGCGGGGGAGAAGGAGGCAGTTTCCAAGAATACAGAACAGAAGGCTGGCCCTCTTCTGGCCCAGGCACCCCTCCTGTTCCCTAACCTTGCCCACCTGCCCACAATCCCTTCAAGGCCTGAGTCTCCCAACTTAGCAGGATTTGTAGGTTGATAAGGTCCTCGGGCTCTCCTCTTCCCACCCCTTACTCGACCCTGTCCCTAAGGGATCTCATTTCCTCTGTCCACATCCATGGCTCATCAAACCTGGTTTCATTGCCAGCTGGAAGCCTCCTTTCAGCTGCCTTCCATCCTTTTATTGCTCTCTGCAGGGACCCTCCCCACCCCCAACTGGACCAAGTCTCTGTGCACCAGGGACTCTGCCTGGCTGCCCCCTGAGGACCCTGGATCCAGGCCCAGCCTTGGTTCTGCCTGCAGTCAATGACTATCTCTGAGCCTCAGTGTCTTCCTGGGCTCTACAGTGATGATGAGCCATGTCTTGGCTGCCTCTTGGGGAGCCCAGGAGGCCTGGGTGGACAAAGGTGTGGTTTGGAAGCGCTTTTGGACACAGGCTATCTGCCCCCATATGGCTTTGGGACCCAATGCACTGGGCATTTCTGATTTCTCAGCTCACTGACAGGGCAAGTCTGCTGGGTGAGCCCTGTTTCCCACTTTGACTCCCTCAGCAGCCAGCCCACTGGTTTCAAAATACTCGGGGCAGATGCAGAATGGAGCTTTCTTGGAGCTGCACCATGGGAATAGCTTTGTTCTGTTTCTTTGCCTCCAGCTCCATGTGCTAGGCCTGTCCTGTCTCCACTGGACTTTTGAGGGAAGTCCCTAAAAAGATCCTTACTGACTGATCAATGCACAAGCCCTGACGAACTCCTACTCATCCTTCAAGGCCCATTCAAACATCTTTTCTCAGAATCTCTCCTCTGAGCTCCTGAAGCACTTGGCCCTCTCCTGTCCTGGCCCATAACCATGATTCTAATTTGTTTTATGGTGGAGTTGGTTACAAACATGCTTGTTTCTCTTCTGAGATGGGGAGGGAGTAGGGGGGTGAGGGGTGGTCTTTGAGGAAGGGACTCAAATCTGGCTCTGGGGCCCAACATTGCACAGCGCAGTACATGGCGCCCTTGCGTGTCCCTGTGACTGGTTCTGAACAGAACAGGTAAAACTGAAGCTTCCAGGTGTGGCCGCCGGCAGGAACTCCTCTGCTGAAACCACAGGCAGTCTCCCCGCCCCCGTAGTAAGGGCCCATTGTGCCCTCGGGCGTGGCTGCGGCACCTGCTTGGCAGAGTCCAGGAAGCTCAATAGAGCCGTTTTAGAGAAGGGCAAACTGAGACCTTGACTTGCCATGGATGTTTCGATGCTTCTTCCCCCCTCCCCCCCGCCCCGCTGGACTGGATGTTTCTGGAAGACATGGACTGTGTTTCCTTGGCGTCCGTGAATCTGAGCCTAATTCAGAGCTCGACGGAGACCAGGCGTTCAGGACAGCTTATTGGTTGAATAAACGAATAAATGAATGAAATTCGTCTGGCCTTGCAAGGGCCCCACCCCGGCTGGATCAGTCTGGCCCCTGGCCTGCCCGCAGGGTTTCAAGCCTCGCCGGCCCCGCCCCGCCCCGCCCCCCGGGCCGCTCACCCTTGCTCCTCCATCATCTCCTGCAGTTCCATGCACTTGAGCTCCACGCGCCGCTTGCGCTCGTGGTCCAGGATCTCGCGGTGCGCGCGCTTCACCAGGCCCGGCTCCGTGGCGCGCAGCTCCTCCTCCGCCCGCGGCCAGGTCCCCGAGGAGGCGCCCGGCTGCGGGAAGCCGTTCGCCGCATCCGGGGGGGACGGCATGCTGGCCGCCCCGTTGTTCACGGTGGAGGACATGGCGGCTGGCCCCGGAGCCGCTGGCCTCGGCCCTGCGAGACAGACAGACACCAGGCGGGTGGTCACTTCTCGGCCACCTGCTAAGCTCCTGTGCGCGGGTTAATCCTGGAGATTTAAAGGCCCACTCATGGCTCTAATCCGCTTCCTCTCATGCTTGGGGGCGGGGGCGGGGGCTGATGTCAGGTTAGCACCTTTGGGTCACACCTCAGGGTCACACCAGGCTTTCCCATCTGCAAAGTGGGTGGATGCTGGACTAGAATGCCTCCAAGGGCGTGGGCTTGGAATAGTCATCTCCAGGGACCTAGTAACCACCTAGGCAACGCACTCTCCCTTATACCAATTCCTGGGCCCCTGCTTGCACACCTGCTAGTAACTTCCCCAGGGAACCACATGGGTCTCTGGGAAAATTTGTTGTCTTTTTTTTTAAGTGTATTTATGTATTTATTTAATTTATTTAAGTAATCTACACCCAATATGGGGCTCAAACTTACAGCCCTGAGATTAAGAGTTGCGTGCTCTTCCAGCTGAGCCAGCCAGGTGCCCCAGGTAAAATCTGTCAGTTTTATTTTTGTTTTTCCTTCAGCCTCAGTTACACTTCTCCACCTCACTCTGAACACACACTGTCCTGATGGCCTATGGGGTCACAGGCTACGTGGGCTCCCCACTCCCAGTCAGTTCCCAGGGCAGCCCTGCAGAAGATGGGAAGATGCAGTTGACTGCAATCCCACCACACACGCAGTTTTCAGTTGATCTGGCCAACTTCTCCAAAGCCAACCTTCCAGGTGTGGGCCAGATCCAGAGGGACGCCCACAGGTCCGTCCCCTCCTTTGTTCTGGAAACACTGCTCCTGAAGATGTGACCAAAATGGCACCGACATTAGCTTTGCAGACAGCCGCATCCTCCTGCAGGCTCAGAGTCATGTGGGAGGCAGCATGGCTGCAAAGGCAAGAGGCCCTGGCTCCACACTAGGCTCAGAGTAGAGTATGCACATGCACCATGTGCAAGCACCCTCCTGTGCACCAAGGACCTATCTTGACAGAGGGGAGGCACCTCCAGCTATTTCCATTTCCTTTCTCCTAGGCTCCAGCTAGTTGCTAAGCAACAGAGAGGCCTCCTTCCCAGGGAGTGGGATGGGAAAGAGGGAATTGTGGAGGGAGGTGGGAAGAAGGGATTGGGCATGTCTGGACATCCTGGATGGGGCCTTTCCTGCAACACAACCCCACAACAGTCACTCCCCCCACTGGCCTTGGAGTGATGGGGGTGGGGGTGTTCGGAGCCACAAAAACTGGAAGGCAGGGAAGGGCACAGAGTGACAGGCAGTGATGGTGACGATGAGAACATAAACTCTTTTCATCCCCCTAAATCCCAAGCCCCTGGGTTCTAGGCCAGGCTCCTCTACTCCTTGCTGTGTGACGCTGAGGATGTCACTGACCTTCTCTGAGCCTCTGGTCCCTACCTGTGCCTGGGAGCATCATCTAGACTCTTCTGGAGAGGAAGGCTCTTGGGGCTCTACAGACCAAATCTGTTCTTCTAACCTCTCTCTCCATCCCTAAGCCCTGCCAGCTTCCCACCTCTGTCCTAGCCCAGCCCTGCACCCGGCTCCACCAGGGCCTCTCGTGGGGTGACCCACAAACACCACACACTCACTAAGCCCCACACGGAGCTCTGAGAGCCCTGCTCTCCACCTGCCTTGGCCATAGTGCTTAGCCATGGGTGACCCTTCTGGCTGTTGGTCACCCGCACCAGGGACCAACATGTGTGGACATGTGTGGGGCTTGGAGATCCCTGTTGCTCTGGCCCACCACAGCTTACCTGTCACCAAGTTTGGTCCCCTATCCCCTCTTCTCAACATCGCTTCCATTTATCCACTTGCTCCCCTCCTGTCACCAGCAAAATCCAAGCCCCTCACTCTGATCCGCTGCCTCTACATCCTGCCTCCCCCATCCCGCGCCCGCCACCCCACCATCACCATCAGCAACCTGAGAGATCAGTCCAGGAGCACATCAGACTGTGTCATGCCCTGGTTAATAGCCTCTAGTGGCTGTTGTCACCGTGGGCTCATAGGTCTGCCCTCCCCCCCACCCCGCCCCCCCACTGAGGGCTGCTTAACTTTCAACTCCTAGTGCCAGCACAGTGCCTGAATGAGCAGGTGGAGCTTGATGCACATGGGTGGAACAAATAGAAGATAATTACAACAGGAGGCGGGCTCAAGTACTGCCTCCTGGCAGAGTCCTTAACAACGTGTAAGACCCCTTCACATTTTGCCTTATGCTATCTTGCAACTTCCTCCCTTGCTACGCCTCATCCTGTAGCCAAGCCCCTTGGCCTTGGTCATCAGTCCCCAGACATGTACTCTCTCATTCCTTTGGGCCCTTGCCCATAGAGTTCCCCTGTGCTGGAATTCCATTTCCTCTCTTTTCCACCTGGGGAGCTTCTGCTCATCCTTCAGGGCCCAGCCCAAGTGTCACCTCCTCTGGGAAGCTGTCCCGGCTTCTCAGGAAGAGTGGGCCATTATCTATTTGTGCTCCAGCTTTTGTCCTCACCTCTATAGATACTGAAGTTCAACTTGTTGTTTGCATCTGACCCCCCCCCTCCTGAACTGTGAGCCCTTTGAGGGGAGGGATCCCCTCATTCTGGTTCCCCAGAGCCTACCCATCACTTGGAAGAGGCGTGCTGAGGGTATGGGGAGAAAGTGCTTCAGCTCCAGGGGAGCCCACGGAGCCAGGTTCTGAGCCATGCTGCCCTGCATGCTTTCTCTCTGACATGGGCGAGGCTCTCCAGCCTAGAAGTTGGCCTGAGCTCCTTGAGGGCAGCGGGGAGGGGAAGCTGGTGGGAGCAGTTCTGAGCACACTCAGATCTCCAGACCCCGTCCCGAGCAGTTCTATCCCCAGCACTAGGAGAACACCTGGCTGAGATTGCTAGTCCGCTGAGGGCAATCTTTCAGGAATGGCTCTAAGAAGGAAAAGAGAGGGTATATGGGCACGGGGGCAGGGGCCATCTGGATTTTCACTGGGACAGATGGTGGATTCTACCAACTTCAGCTGGTGGGTTGGAGGCCGCCACCAGGCAGGAATCAGATATAGGTTATTGAAGGATGACCCCTGAACGCCAGGCCCCTAAGAATAGTCACTGCATGTGGAGCCCATTTCCTTCCAAGCTGCAGGTGCTGGGCCAGCCGACCAGGGAGTTACTGTAGGCACAAGGTCTCTCTGAGAGGCATCTGACCTTATCTTTTACGGAATCCCTGTGAAACTGCATAAGGAGAGAGAGATATTGTGGTTATTGGAATGAATATTCTGCACTGTTGTAATCGGTGGATAGACTGACCTGTGCTCAAAGGGAGCTGATTCATGGATCAATGTCACATTAGATGGAGGTATTTAGTGGAGGACCACAGGGCTCTGTCCTCACCCATGTAGATCTGGTATGTTCACCACTGACTGGATGGAACATTGATAATCTGATGATCAGATTCATCGAGGACAGCACCTGGGAAGCCTCATAAATAGAGTCAGTTTCTAAAAGGACTCAGTAGGCTGGAAAGATGAAAGGAATTGAAGAAGGTGGAACACGACAGAGACAAATCCCTCACTCTGAAGCTGGATCCCAAGCTAACTTTCTAAAATTGGAATGGGATAGACATGATTTAGAAGCAGCATATTTAGGAAGGATTTAGGGGTTTTCAATGGTCACAGACCCGATTCGAGTCAATATCATATTGTGGCATGTTATCTTAGGCTGCCTCAACAAAGACATGATTTTTAGAATAGGGAGGTGATAAGAGTATACAGGTGGTCAGAATCCCTATCTTCAAATTGTGAAGGATTGTAGAGGATTTAGGCCAAACCTGGCTGAATCTGTAGGGAATCTGATAGGGTTGGGACGCCTGGGTGGCTTAGTTGGTTAAGCATCTGCCTTTGGCTCAGGTCATGATCCCAGGGTCCTGGGATCGAACACCACATGGGGCTCCCTGCTCATCTGGGAGCCTGCTTCTCCTTTTCCCTCTGCCCCTCTGCCCTGCTTGTGCTCTTTCTCTCTCTCTCTCTCAAATAAATAAATAAATAAATAAATAAAAGTCTTAAGAAAAAAATACCAAGATACACAGTTAAATTAAATTTGAATTTCATGAATTCCATAGTTGGGGCATACTTATACAAAAAAAAAATCATTGTTTATCTGAAACTCAAATTTAACTGGGTGTCTTGTATTTTATAGGTCAAGCCTACCTGGGACCCACCCCAGACCTACTGAACCCGAATCTCTGGGGCATCGTTCATGTTTCCCAAGTGATTCTGATACAGACTCTCTCTGGACCAGCCATTGGGAGCTGGAGTCTGGAGCAGTAGTTCTCAGATTTTATTCAGCATCAAAGTCGCCCAGAGGATTTGTTAAAACACAGCTTTGGAGTTTCTGATTCAGTAGATCTGGGGTAGTGTCTGAGAATTTGCATTTATAACAAGTTCTCAAGTGCCCTTCTTGCTGCCAGTCCTCCATCACACACTCGCCAATCTGGGCTGTTCCAGAAGAAAGCCAGGACTCCTGCAGGGAAGTCAGCTAGAGTGGACTTCAACTAAGCCCAAGACAGGATTTTTTTTTTTTTTCCTCTTAGCAATCAAACCTTTAAGAAAAAAAAAGCAGTTCAGTTCATCCTAATATAAGTGAGTTCTCCATCACGGGAATGTTCGAACAGGAAGTAGACATTATATTCACTCAACAAACACCCACCCAGCATCTACTCGGGCCTGAGCCTATGAAAGCCTGGGCATTTGGAGATGAACATGACCCTATCCTGGCCATCTGGGAGCTCATCTGGGAGCTCATGGGCTGGTTTGGGAGACCAGATGGATGGTGCAGCCATTTATTGTGATGGGAAACATGGAGGGCAAATTGGGGGTGCACTGAGAGTGAGGAGCTTTTGGGGGTCAAGCAGGCCCTCACTCTCACCCTGACCCTAACATGATGAGGTCCTTGGAAACATTTACACTGAGTTTCTTTGGAGG